AATCATTTCAGCTATTTTTTTCAAATATATCCCAAAGAAGATTACTGTGCAGCATCTTCATCACTACCATTCTTATGTAATCTCCTAACTGGTGTCTTAGTTTCCCTTCTCATGTCATTTCACCTCCATATTTCTGGTCTGTCTACGTGGTTTTCAAATAATCCTTTGAAAGCATTAAGCAGATTATAACAGTAAGACTTGTTAGCTACCCCAATTTTTTATTATAACATTATCACACACAGAATCTTACAATGGTTCTCTGTTACTCTAGAATAAAACTTTATAGTGAAGTATAACCTGTAAAGACATAGTTGGTCTGCACCTGTTTTTTTTTTTTTTCCTTCAGTCTCATCATATGCCACTTTCCCCTTAATTCAGTGTTTTAGCCATATGCTTTCCTTCAATCCTTTGAACAAACCAAACTCATTTAAAGTTCAAATATTTGCAAATGCTCCTTTGTTTAAAATACTATTCACCCAATATTATCATAGTCCATTCCCATACTTTGTCTCTCTTTAAATGGAGGCTCCTCAGAGTCCTTCCCTAACCATAATCCAATACTACCTTTCTCTACTCTCTTTTCTTGTCCTGGATTATTTTTCTTGATGGTTCTTTCTTCTCTCGGATTGTTATCACATATCATATCATATTATATGCTTATTGTCTTCACTAACTAAAAGGACCATGCAAGAAGGGACTTTGGCTGTTATATTCACTGCTATATCCTCTGTACCTAGGACAATACCTAACATGCAGTAGTTAATAATTGTTGAATGATGAATAGTAAAAAGAAATAGAAATGTGTCTTTGAAACCCAACTTTTAATATTCTACTTTATTAAAAATGTGTTTATAAAACCTCATATTTCTGTGCTAAACTTATATCTTCTTAAAGATTGAGATTCTCAAACATGTTCCTGAAGGTACTGAGACAGAACAAGGCCTTAAACGGGAGCTTCAAGTTCTTAGGTACATTCTGTGTTCATATGACTTGTTTATTTATTTCTTTTTCTTTTTTTATTATTTTTTAAATAACTTGGTTTCCTAAAGCTAGAAACAAAGGGTCTTTCAACTTGGCTGCCTAATGAGTTCATTCAATCCTTATTTCATCCTTCTGATACCAGGCAGACCCTCTTTTACATACTAGATACTGAAAAATAAGTTGCCAGTTTGCAATTTAAACTTTCATAACAGCACAGATGGAATTAAACTTTGGCTTCCCAGAGGCAAAATACTAAAGAAAGAAAGAACAAGTAATTCTTTACCTTTAGAAGTCTGTATAGCCTACTTCCACTGGGCTCTTCCCATAAGAAAACTCTAAAAAAACACATTTGGTCACATTTTAAGAAAAACATGAAGACATTTGCTTCTGTGCTTGGTTTGCAAATGGGGCACTGCAACATAGAGTAGATGTTTACCTTGGTAAATACTAGCACATTTGGGGTTTTGTACATCACTAATTAATAAGGAATGTCTATGTATTTTCTGGAGCAATGTCTCTTGTTTTTAAAACACATTATTGTTGTGTTTTAGATTAGCTAATAATCAGCTGAATAAAGAAAAAGCAGAATTAATCCATCAGATAGAAGATAACAAGGACCAAAGCAGAGTTGAAAGCATCACACCTGGTAATATATTTTGTAAGACTTGTTAGCTACCCCAACTTTTTATTAGGGTTTGCTTTTTTTGTTCATATTTCTAATATTTGTCTCTATATAAGAAGAAATATGTGTATGTACATGCTTCCCCCAACAATAGTGATATAATTTCTGTGAATGAAGAGAATAGACATAATATGTATATTATTTTATATATATGTATAAATATTTTCTTGGAAGATGGTATAAAATTGGATTCATACCATATTCCCAACTTACTATCTATATCAGGGACATCTTTTGAGGTCTGTATGCAAATCTGACTCACTCTTTTAATGATTTTATAATCATGATTATTGCATGGATGCCACATTTATTTATTTACCTTTTCATGGACATTTGAATTTGAGTTTCTGCTATATTATAAACYAATTCTGGTTCCATTAATGACTTAATGGAAGTGCCAAATTTTGCATGAAAGATTATATCAATTTTTATCTGAACAATCTTTTGACTATTTCATGTAGCCTTTTCAGTATCCTATCATAGCTCTGATGTTACTTTGTAGTAAAGCCATCATGTGTGACTTGTACTAGACATTATGCTAAGTGCTTCACAAGCATTCTACTTTATTCTTATAACCTACAGATAAGTTTTGTTGTCATCATTTTTCATGTGATAAACAGACTCAAGGTTGATAACCAGTCCCCAAGATTATAATAGCTAGATAGTGGTAGAGGCAAGATGAAAACCTAATTCAACAAAATTCCAAAGTTCCTTGCTATTCCCTGCTCTTAACCACTATCCAGTAGTGCCTCTTGGTRAATAAAATTACATGTATTAATCTCTTGATAAATTTCTGATAGCACTCAGCTTGAACTGTACAAGACCAGACATAGTGTATTGCAAAAGACCTTTTAATACTGTTGACATTAGGCGTGCTATTTTTTCTAAACATGTATTCTCAGGGAATTTCTGAGCCCTCTTGTTTTATATTTCCTATGGGAAAGAGACAAAGATGCCTGTCATATTTTATTATGTTAAGCTCCCAAATCAAACCAAAACTGTTTTGGCAGTTCAAAATTACTATCAAAAATAGATGTGATTTAAATAGCTTTTGGAAGATGCTATACATAATATTCACTTCTTCCTGCATTGTTTCACCACCAGTCTATGTATATATAAATATTAAAATCAACTTAAAATTTCTTAGCACTTTGTGCAAAAGTAAGAGAATCTTTCAAAATTTGTTACTTAACAGAATCCCGTTACAAAATTTTTCCTTAGTCTTTTTATCTCCATTCTTCTCCTAGTTATACATAGGGAGGGGATCATTCCCAGGGTACCTTAATAGAATATGCTTGAGTCATGTACATTTGTTTGCTGTSTATTATTTTCTCAAACTTTAACATTAAAAAATGTTTACCTTTCAACAGTTACATGTGACTTGACACATTATATATAGGGTTTAAAAAAGTGATCTATATATCTAGCAAAGTTGGGGTTAAAAAGTCYATTTGCCTATTGATTCTCACTATAAAATTAGCAGTATGTTAACATGGGGAGTACATCCAGTAAATTCAAACCTTTGTGCTGTATTTGCTTTTGTTTTCCTGCCAAAGTATCAGGCTGTGTCTGATGTTTTAGTTGTATCAAACACCCTGCCCTAGGGTTTTGTGCACATACTAATGGCACAGTAACTGACCTATGTGGAGTAGCCATTGCTTGTGGGATAGAAGTAACATTTGGACAGCTCACCATTTTAGCCACTTATCTACTAGTCTGCTTTTCTGATGTACTTTTAGTACCTAACAGATTTTATTAGTTGTAGGATTTTTCTCTGAAAAATGAGAATTGCTTCTAAAGCATTTATCTCCACTTCTAACTCCAGGCAGATGCCTTTTCTCTTTGGTTGCTATGGAATGACAATGCYTAACAGAAATTTTTTAAAATAGTATTCACAGCCTGAGAAAGTTTCAACCATTTAGCCCTATTTTCAAGGCTCTAAGTTTCATAAGTTTTCTGCTTATTTTCTAAATCAAATCCTTTATGTTGAACTTAATTCAGAATAGAAAAAGTGAGTCTAGTTTTTATAACTTTTTTTGGCAGATGCTGATCAACTAAAGGAACAAATAAAAGATCTAGAAACACAGCTCAAAATATCAGATTTAGAAAAGCAGCATTTGAAGGTAATTAAATAATTTTATCTAATATTAGTATTATAAATGTTCGTGAGAAACAATTTATGATCACCATCTTTGAGTTTTCAGTACATGTCTTAAAAATTCAAGGAATTACATTTTTTTCTTATAATATTTTGCCTGCATATTACAAAGCTCATTGTGTTTAAGAGCTAACAATACATTCAGATAGAACAACTAGAAAGGATTAGAAAGTAAATTTATTTAGTAGTTATAACAAATCTAGCTCTTTATAGTTTTTAAGATATTACGTTTTATGTCACATTTGGAACAGTGTCTTTAAGTACCTTTTTAAATTCTTTTTAGAAACCTTTCCATAAAGTTATAGTTTACTTAAAAAATTTTTTATGCTTTACATACTTTAAGATTCTGTAAACAGAAAAAAAGGGCATAGATAATTATCTGGTTATCACYGCCTCTTCTAAATAGCCAATAAGGCTCAATTTATCTCTTCACCAGATGCCTAAACTTAGCCAAGGAGAAGTCCCAAAGTTTCTCTGATCATAAATATGCTTATAAGAAGTTGGTTATTATTCATTAAAAAGTAGATATTTGTAATGAAAAATAAAAATGAAGTATAAAACAAAAATCTTAACTAGAACAAATTCAATGTTGTGAATACCAAAGTTCATTTTGATTGACTTATTGATATGCTTTTAAGATTAAATTTCATATTCTCGAGAGTTAATAAATTTTAATTAAAGGCTAGTACATAATTTCAGAATATAATATATCATTTAATTTGGCAGTTAACAAGTTCTTCATACTGTACAGTAAAACCCTATTAACAAATCTTATGAAAATACTCTGCCTTTGTAACTGTATTTGACTTCAAGTTATTTTAGCTTTCATGTTTATAAGTTAAATCTCTTCAGTTCAAACCTAAAACATGCTCTTTCTTCTATGTGCAACTTTTAAAGTTAATATGTTTCTTCTATTAGGAGGAAATAAAAAAGCTGAAGAAAGAATTGGAAAATTTTGACCCTTCATTTTTTGAAGAAATTGAAGATCTTAAGTATAATTACAAAGAAGAAGTGAAAAAAAATATTCTCTTAGAAGAGAAGTTAAAAAAACTTTCTGAACAATTTGGAGTTGAATTAAGTAGCCCTGTTGCTACTTCTTCTGAACRGTCTGAAGATGAAGAAAGTCCTATAAATTTCCCCATTTATTGAAGGCCTCATGTTAATGTATTTAGCTTTTGATTAATTATATAAGTTTCATCTGTAATCAAGCAAATCCGTGAACTAAAGACTTTCCTTCTCAATATGTTCTACTTTTACTTAAATTGGAAGTTTTAGTAAATTATAGAAAATTTTCAACTTATTAGAAAAATATATTTTTGAATTTATACATATTTAACAATTAAGATTGTCAAATACTATGATCTGTACATACAACCATTAAGTTATAAGATTAAGACATACATTTTGTTAAATGTCTAGGAGGATTAAATTGAGCTCAAGGTATTTAATGTATTGATTAAAAAAAAATTACTGGTTTAATTGTTGCCTTTAAATTTACMACCCAGTTACATTGGATAGAATCAAGTTATACAAGCTTGGGGAGCATACTGTTCATTTTTACATTTTTTATGTCCAGAGGTTAAAATTAATGTGTTGATTCTGAATAGGTATTTCCAAGAGGAAAATTAATTTCTTCAAATGCCAGAAGACACTGATGTTTCATAGTACACAACAGTAAACCTCAGTTTTACCTTTTAACATGGCAGAATATTCAAGATTTGAACATACAAAAGTAATTTTAATTACATTTTCATTTTATACATCAAATATTATGTCTTTGAGCCTACCAAATTTCTGATTATTTATTTTTGAAAAATGACTAAACAAACACTTGGTATCATCAAAGGCATAGTCATATTTGTTCAGGTTCACGTTGATAATAACGGGTTTTGAATTAATATAAGTATCTGGAATTGGCCAGCATAAACCAAGATGATGGCGATGGACCTGTAAAGAGAAAAAAAGGGTATTAGCTTTAATTTTTAAACAATACCTAATTCACTTAGATCTATTTATTTAGGATGCCTTATTATCCTGCAAAGAACAATTTTATGCAGGGAAATAATAATCTCATTTATGAAGAATGAACAGGACAAAGGTAAGACTGAAAGGTAATGTTTAGGAGGACAATACAATTTAAGCATAAATATTGGCCTGTGAATTAAAATTAACAGTGAATTGGTTATCGAGAAGTATATAGATTCAACAGATTAGAATCTTTAAGAACTGATAATGGACATAGGAAGTTACGGAAAGAGGGCTTAAAAATAATATCCAAGTTTTTAACTTCAATGAATTGTAGAGAGTTAGAGGATTGATAAAGACCTAGTTCTTAAACATGAATTTCATATGAGAAAATTGGTCATTACATTAAGGTTTTTCATGATCTGGACCCGATGATTAACTTTTCAGAACTGCTCTCCACCCCAACCCTGAACTATATTCTAACAGTGTTTAATCAGTGTATATTATACAGTGTATATTCTAACCGTGTTTAACCAATTATGATTAAAGCAAAAAGCAGCATTCTGTCACCTGAGAAATCGAATGGAAAAGTCCAGGGGACAAACAGGGCAGAAAGCATAATTCATTCTGTATTTATCAACTGCCACCTCGGCACTCCTTTTACTCAACAAATTTTGCAATAAAGTAAGCTTGGGAGACACTGAGTTAAACTAGGTGTAGGAATGTCTTCCACAGAGCTCTAATAAGCAACATGAATTCCCAAGAGGAGGACATGTAGTACCACTTAATTTTGAACCCCAGCTGGTATAATCAGTGACCCATGGAATACATGTTGGGAAACACTGTTTTTGCATATAAAGGTCGGTGCCATGTGAGTTAAGGGAATTGTATTTCTTTGCTTTAGAATCAGAGCTGTTACAGTTTGTGCAGAGAATTTGAGAACCACTTCTTCTTGTAGGAATGTAAGATGACATAACCCAACACAAGGTATATTTTTTTTTTACCTTAATTAAGCAGCCATCATGGCAATGCCATACTATTCCTTCAATTTTACCCTCTTCGMAACCTTCAAACCAGGACAACAGATCACTGTGCTTCAATGTAGGCAAATTTCTTATTTGAAATGCTCCATGTGGTACAAGAAGATGTAATGGATGTTTCTTGTTTCCTAACCCTAAATGGTAAAATCTGCCATTAGCCATACTGATTCAGAGGAACTTTTCAGAAAGAATGAAAAAAAAAATTTTAAAAAAAGTCTTTTAAACATTTAGGAGTAACATTTTTATAAAGTTTAATTGGTTTTCCTTAAGAGAGTGTAATCCAAGCACTGCTCTTATTCAAATGTGGCATCTATTCCATTAAGTTCAAATTCTACTTTTGTATACTCTATACTAGGAGATGTCAAACTACAATCTGAAAGCCAAGCCTAGACAAACAACTGTATTTTGTAAATAGTTTGAATGGAACATTGCAACAGCAGTTCATTTGTACCACTGGCCACCTTCAACTATCATTGAGTATTTGCCAAAAAGCTACACTGTATCTCTGATGTAAGTACTATCTTAGCCTTACACCTGAGAGTCAATCTACTTTTGATCTCTACATAGGAATTTGCTATTATACCTTCAGTGTCCATAGGTTCACCATCTCATTTTCCAGTCAAGAGATATTCATAGGGCCCTCAGTGTACTCAAATCTGTCATGGTATGTATTCTGAAGTTTGATATGATATTCATTAAGCTCTTTATTTACCTCATTTTTCCCATTTTCATTAATTGTGAAAATAACTACCTAACCAAAGTACATTCTCATTCTAAATTAAAAAAAAAAAAAAAAGAAAAGTTGCACCATGCATAGTTAGTTGTACAATGTTACCACAGGGAAGATAGGATAGAATCAACCTTTTGGATTAATAATTCAAAACCATTAGCCGTGAATTTTTCTGTGAATATAAATTAACACAAATGGCTATAAACCTAGGAAACCAACTCAAAATTGCTACTGTATTTCTTTAGTGTATGTATGTGTTTTGTTTTTTTGGGTTGGGGGGATACTGGGAATTGAACTGAGGGGCACTCAACCACTGGGCCCCATCTCCAGCCCTTTTTTTGTATTTTATTTAAGCCAGGGTGTCACTAAGTTGCTTAGTGCCTTGCTATTGCTCAGGTTGGCTTCGAACTCAGGATCCTCCTACCTCAGCCTGTGGAGATGCTGGGATTACAGGTATGTGCCATTGTGACCGCTGTATGTGTTTTTCAAGTTGACCCTAAGAGGTATTTTTTATAAATGGCAGTCACTATAACTGAAAAAGAAAATGACTTCACTCACCATAGGGGTTTCCATTGATATTTGTTCCTATAAGCTCCAATGTTTGTTCTAAGAGATCCGACAGTGGCACTGCACTAATTTCCAAAAGTCCAGGATCATCCGGATGATGCTTTAGTACCAGAGCAATTTCAAATTCATAATTAACTACAGAGGAATGCCAGCAATACTGTTTGTTGTTTTTCTCCACCGGTACCCAACCTATCATTTAAAGAAAAAAATTATTTTTATTACATTGGTTTTCTTTGGATTGAAAACACAGTAATTTTAATTTTTGTTGTAAATTTCCAGTTTTTTGGATGTTTTATCAGACATATACTTTTAAAATCAGTGAGATAAAGTTTTATCCCTTTTCTTAAAAAGACCATATGGCTTCACTTTTTATTCTACTGAGGAATTAATCTGTTAACAACTGAACACCAATTTAAGATAGCATTACAACTTTTTAAAAAATGATTTTCTACTCTCCAGTCACTTTCAGAAACAAGGAAGATATGTAGGTATTTCACAATCTACTGCAAAATATTTAATGTATATTGAACAATTTATTGATTACATATGTATTAAGTTATTGCTAGCCGGGCGTGGTGGCACACACCTGTAATCCCAGCAGCTTAGGAGGCTGAGGCATTAGGATCATGAGTTAAGAACTAGCCTCAGCAATGGCAAGGAGCTAARCAACTCAGTGAGATCCTGTCTCTAAACAAATAGAAAATAGGGCTGGGAGTGTGGTTCAGTTGTGGTACCATGTCTCCACCACCACCACCCCCAAAAAAGAAAAACAATTACTACTATTACTTTTTTCAGTCTTATTGCCAGAATAGGCACTCTTATTGTGGGAGAAACTCATTGCAAAAAAGGAGGAAAAATTAGGACATATGTGCCCTAGTGACCACATTTTTTACCTTCATTAGCCCCCAATACTATAATCACTTCTTTGCTAGTCCATTAGCTTCCAGTGAAACCTATCCAACTTTTGCACATAGTTCTGTTTCTGAAATTTAAACTTAGTTGTAGCACTGTTCTGTAACCAGTATCTTCAGAATAAACTTAAAACTACATGAAATACCAGAGCCTTTAAGGTCTGAGCCCATTCTATACCTTCAGCCTCAACTCTTATTGTTACATACTATGGTGAGTAAAATATCTACCTTAGAAAAAATTCTAAGCCTAAAAGGACATGCTTAGTATGAAACATCTTTTTTTCTTTTTTTGCATCCAGGGACACTTAGCTACTGAGCCACATCCTCAGCCCTTTTTATTTTTTATTTTAAGACCAGGTCTYGCTAAGTTGCTTTGGGCTTTGAACTCTTGCTCCTCCTGCCTTAGCCTCCCAAACTGCTGGGATTACAAGAATGTACCACAATGCCTGGCTTGAAACATTTTTAATATAGATTAAAACATTACATCAATTTGATTTAGAAGTTTTATTGTGTACATATAAAGAAAAGAACCACATTAAAATTAAATTCTGCAATTTCTGATTGAATGAGCCTTTCAGATTTTATACTAGTAAATATAAAACTGCATGTAGGAAGAGATTTTTCATGATACCAGGAATGTGTCCATTTTCATCAGGTACTGGATTTCCATTTAATTTTTCTATTTCCTTTGCTGGTATCCAGCACTCTGGAACAGGTTTGAAATCCTCCTCAACATTCCAAAGAAATTCTAAAAAGAGTAGATAATCTTATTTTTAGTCATACTTTAAAAATATAGGTTCAAAGTGGGAATAGTGAATAAAACCTCATAATATATGTTACAGTTAGTCACATTTTCACCACAATGTGACTATATTCCTCAGTGTTATAGTACTAACATTTAAAATTTTCAATTCTGAATATACCACCATTTGAATATGTATATAAAGTATACATATATAAACTATACATATATATATACATACATATATATATATATACATACATATATATATATAAAGTTGCCAATATTCCATTTTATGTAGGTATATGATGAATTTTTAAAGTACTTATAAATACAAATACATAAATTGACATGAATGACTGTAGGTCTGTGTATATATATATATATATACATGTATATATATATATATATATAAAATAATTAGAGGCATCTTAATGTCATAACTTAAAATGCTAATTTTCCTTTGAGATTTTGCCAGATCAATAAAATTATATTTGTCTCTTATGCATATAAAGTGAAAATGTATTTCGCATTATAATATTGTATGTTTTAATAAAACAGACTGATGAAGAGTCACAGAAATACTAGGAAAATATTTTAAAATATTTTTCAGTAACATTCTTATATATATGAAAATACTCAACTATCATCTTTGTTACCCAAATTGTTTAAAAAATTCAGAAGGATAAAAATGTATAGAAATGCCATAGCAAAAATAAACCACAGGGACTGGGGTTGAGGCTCAGTGGTACACTGCTTGCCTAGCATGTGTGAGGCCCTGGGTTTGATCCTCAGCACCACATATGAATAAAAAAAGTAGAAAAATAAATTAACTACAAGTTTCAGCTATTTAAATTTTAAAAGTAAAGGAAAAAACCTACTAACCTTTTGAGTTTTCTTTGGAATGTAGAAAATTTTTAAATCTTTTGTCAGCTTTTTTGTTGGGTTTTCTATCTAGTCGAGCCCAAAGATATGGCTGATCTAAAAAAAAATTCATAAAAAGAAAAGTGTTTAAGAGGCAAACAACATTTATCTTGAAAGGTACTTCAAAGTAGAATTATCAATAAACAGTAAGGTGATCTCTCCAAGAGAAGAATCAAAACCCTAGAAAACAAAGAAAAATATGCAGTCCAAGATACACACCACCTMGCAGTACCTTATGTTATGAAAGACTGACTTTGATTAAAGAATGATGGAGATGAGATAAGAACTAAAAATGTGGTCCTTTTATAAGGATATTCCATAATCATATTAGTAGCATCTGTGAGCAACCAAAGAAAGCTATATCCAAAATGGAAACATCACCAGGTAACTGTATTCACATCTCCCCTGAACATAACACTGTGCGCTGTGTAATTCTATAAGAACTAACCCTGGAATCAGGCTGACCTGCTTTGCATGAAATCATATTAGTAGCATCTGTAAGAAACCAAAGAAAGCTATATCCAAAATGGAAACATCACCAGGTATTCACATCTCCCCTGAACATAACACTGTGCTGTGTTATTCTGTAAGAACTAAACCTGGAATCAGGCTGACCTGCTTTGCATGGGACCAACCCCTAGTCAAGCCAYTAAACCTACTGATTAATGGTGCTGCCTTGTAATGATGGGTCTGAGTTTCAGGACACTGTGCCAGCATTATTGGCACAGGTGCATTTGATGAGTTGCACCTGGCTTTAGACTCCTGGAGAGCTCWGCTGTTGAGAATGGTTACTTAGTAGGAAGATGCTTACTTGATCAGCAAAATTAGAATGATTTCTAGCTGAGACTTTCTTTTGGATCCCTGGTTTCAAAGTGTTGCCTGCACACATCAGTGGATCCTGATCTGAGAAAATGTATCCTGCCAGGATTTAAAGCAGGAAAAAAATATAGTTTTCACCTGGCCTTTGTAGACCCCTTGCTCCCTCAGACAGTCCTTTGCTATAATTCACATCCTTACTTTTAAAGCCCTTTGTTATATTATATGTCTTTTACCAGTAATAAAATGTAGATTTGTATACACTGTCATCTTGATTTCCACGAGGGTTCTTTAGCAGTTAAACTCCAACCTTGCTTAGTTGATACTATCATGTACATAAGGATAACACTAAAAGTTCTTAATATTAAGGACAGGAAAAATCTTAGTTTCCTTAAATATAAATCAACATTTATAAAAAATAATTATACTTTGGTTCAGATATTTTCTACTGCTTACTAATTATCCAGATAATATAAAGAACCAAATTAAAATTATACTATCATTCCTGGTTGAATAGATGTTTTGTTCTTTTTACCAGTAAGTATAAAAAGTACAGTCCACTCATTTCCATTAGGCTATTATCAAAAAACAAAAACACACCAGGTATGGTGGCACATGCCTATAATCCCAGCGTCTCAGGARGCTGAGGCAGGAGGATATCAAGTTCAAAGCCAGCCTCAGCAACAGCAAGGCACTAAGCAACTCAGTGAGACCCTGTCTCAAAACTCAAAAAAGGCCTGGGGATGTGGATCAGTGGCTGAGTGCCCRAGTTCAATCCTGGTACCAAAAAGAGAAAAAGATACAAGTGCTCATGAGGATACAAATTGGAACTTTGGTGCACTGTCCATAAGAATGTAAAATGGTGCCACCACTATAGAAAACATGGCAGCTTCTCAAAAATGAAAATTACTATACGATCTAGTAATTCCACTACCCAAAACTTGGAAGCAGGGTCTTAAGAATTGTTTACTCCTGTTCATAGCAGCATTATTYCTACAAAAGGTAGGAGCAACCCAAATGCCCATAAGTGGTTGAATGGATAAACAAAATTTGAAAATATCTTAATTTATATATTTAAGTAAATGGAATATTATCAGCCTTAAAAAGAAATGAAATTTTGATACATGCTCACATGGATCAACCCTGAGGACATTAAACTAAGGAAAATACGTCAGTCACAATATGAGGCACCTAGAGTAGTCAAGTTCATAGAGACAAAATAGAATTCTGGTTACAAGGGGCTGGCTGGACAAAGGAATGTAGGTATTAAGTCTCAGTTATAGAATATGAAAAGAGACCTGGAGATGGGTGGTGTGAATGCACAACAGTAGGAATGTACTTAAAATATCACCATATTGTATACATCTTAAAAATGTTTAAGATGTTAAACTCTGTTTTACCATCCTTTAAAAAAAAATTGTAAATGGTTTTTCAGAAGAGATTTCCTGATACAAAGAGTGTGTCTGTATGCCCACTTAACTGTTCTACTTCTTTTACTGGAATGAGAGGTAATTTCACCATCCAGAGATAATCACAAAGAATTCTTCTCTTTTCAGTGCATTTGTTTTCTTAACATAGTTGACAGTTTTTGTTTAAATTTCTACTACTTTTAAAGTACATTAAATGAAATTAGACATATTGCCAATAATAATAAAACTAATGGAAACAGCTCTGGAATCATAAAATGAGAACAGGCTTTAGGGTTAGACAAAATTAAGTTGCATCAACAGTACAGCTATTCATTAACTATATGGTCTTGGACAAATTAAGATAGCTGAGAGTTTCTTTATCTGTGATATGGAGAACCTTATTATACAAATTAAATATAATGTATGAAGCATTTATCATACTGCCTGACCCATAACAGGTATTAAATAAATGTTACTTTCCTACCCCAAGAGAAAAACATAATAATGTAATAAATAAAAATTATCACATTTTAATTTTGTTACTAAGGCTTCTAAGGGTTTATGAAGAGTAAATGCCCATTTCTGATTTATATAGTTTTAAAATGATCAATAAAGAAATACTTGTAGGAAACATTACAGTTTTATTTTACCTTTGTAGGTAGTAACATAACAACATGTTCCATCCACTTTTTCTGTTGGAATTGCACTGTATATATCTGCATCTAATGCCTTGTGACTTACAGTTTCAGTTGCCAAAACTTTAAATGGCTTAAAAAAGAAAGAAAGAAAACTGGTTTAAGATAGACAGCCTCTGCCCTCTCATATACTCTCACCTGAAATGTTCTTAACTTTTTTCTTCTAAAGGATGATATCCTGTCCATTCCTTAAGAAAATTTAAAAATATCTGTGAAGTTTTCCTTAATCACCCCCCTCCATTTTATGTTATTACAACAAAACCTGATTTTTCACAGACTATAAATTATTTGTTTCTTCTTCCACACATAATAACACAGCTGTTCAATATGCACAATATATTAGACAATTATTTATGAAATGCCTACTATTAAACACTGTCATTGGCAATGGAAATATAGAAGGCAAAAAAAGTACCTGCTTTTGTTGAAACTTGCTTTTTAATGAGGAATACAACAGAAATAAAATGTATAATATAGTATTAGGTATGATAARTGCTAAAGCAAAAAATGGGACAAAGACAGGGATGAGATACTATTTATGGTRGACAGGGAAGCCCTCTTTGAGGAGGCGACATTTGAGCACTCTCAAGTGAGGGAATACACCATATAAACATCTGAGGGGAAAAGAGACCCCAAGTCTGAGGTTTCTTGACTTTTCTGCAGAATGCAAGTTAGCCACTGTATTTGGAATGAAGTGCAAGTAAAACCAAATCAAGTGAACTTTAAACGATTCCTAGGTATTTCTGGTGGTTCAATACAAGTATTTCCCAAAAACACTTTTCAGTTTTCCAAGAATGAATCTACTCTTCAATACATGATTCCTTCCCCCTCTTTTATAAGTAGAAACATTTCAGTTATTTACAAAATTTGTTTTTTTAATTAACTGGTTCTTTGTAAGTTTGGCAAGAATCTGGTGAAATCTTCCTGCCTCAGGCCACATTCTCAGGGAGCAGGCAAGGGAGCTATGGAAGAGGGCTGTATTCTGTTTTTGCTTTTTTCTTGGAAAACGAAAACTCACATACTCATTTATAAAGTTAAAATATATAAAAGCATAAACAAGAAATCACCATAGTCTCGTTATTCAGACACAATCACAAAGAAACCATGGGCATAATTTCAGTATCTTTTTCATTGACTTTTTATCTTTCATAGAATATCTATTTTCAACAGAACATTTTTTTAAAGGCCAATCAGAATGCTTTCTGAATTTACTTGTTTCATACACTTTTCCTCTTCAACTGTATTATAAATATAATACTGTTTTCTTAATATTTCACCTTTGATCCATTGTGAAAGATCTTGCATCTCTGCTTAAATACTTTTAGATTATAGACTTTAAAGCCATCTTAATTTCCAGAATAAGTTTATGCCTGATTCAATTTTCATTTTAAAACTGTTGAGATGCATTATAAAGTTCTTTTGAAAATACCTGCTTGACTGGAAAATTAACCTCTGATGATTTCTTACTATTAAAAATGACTTTTTGTATTTGAGAGATCTTTAAATATAAAGTTGGGCTGGGGTTGTGGTTCAGTGTTAGAACGCTTGTCAAGCATGTGTGAGGCACTGGGCTCAATCCCAGCACCACATAAAAATAAACAAAGGTATTGTGTCCATCTACAATTAAAAATAATTTTTAAATAAAGTTAAATTTCTGAGCTATACCAACTGTGGTTGTTTACATTTATTAATTTTTCAAAATGTCCAGAACAAAATGAAAATTGCCTCTATTTWAAAAAAATCTCTTTCTTCTGAGTTAGGTTTCACCTTGACAATAGTGTTCTTCACAGTTAGCTGATAACACCATGTCATTTCATGAATCTTTTTATTTTGAATGTWGTATTCAGAAGTTTCATTATGTAAATCCAAAAATCTCTGTTGTCACTCATTCCACAAAGTTTGGGCATCTAGTTTGTAAAATGTGTTGTCCTGGCAGAGTATACAGAAGGAATAAGACTCACTAGCATCACCTTTTGGGAGAGCCCTCAAATAGAGGACTCTGGGAAATCCAGCCTCTTAATGGCCAAAGGTGGACCACTGTGCCATATTAGGTATTGTACTGTATCATTCAAGTTCTATTCTCTASACAATGCATACTCAATAGTAGAGGCTGATTTTGATTTATTCATAGTTTTAACCCAACAGTTTTCACTGTTAAATCTACTAAGAATTACTTTTCTTTTTTTTTTTTCTTAGATTTTGTTTGAGAGTATTCACTTCATATTCCTTTCATCTTTATCAACAGTAAACTGAATATGTATTTAAATTATGGCTTTTCTTCTGTCAGGAAGAAAAATCAAAAAGCATCAGGAAAGGAGGAAAAGAYAATTTCTAATGTTTCTCCCAACCTTTTGTTATTTTCATTTCTGAAACAAAACTTATGACTACATTTTGTAATCTAAGTCTGAAGTTAACATTTACCTTACAATGTGAAAAACAATGCACAATATAAACCATATACTGGTGTATAGAGTATATTTCAAATAGAGTGAAGTAAACTAGGAAATCAGCCCCATTTTAGTAATGATTCAGTTCTTTTAAGATATATCTGAATGGGGATTATCACTAACATATGATTCTGATATCAGAGGATATCAGTTTTAACTAGAATAGTAAAGCCAAAGGAGTTGACCCAATAGCTGTGTGTATGTGTATGTGTGTGTGTGTGTGTGTGTGTGTGTGTGTGTGTGTGTGTTTAAATTTAGCAAGTTCCTAGAGAGATTACTATTTCCATTAAGTTTTTGATGAATACAAAATGTTCCTTCCATAGAACCAGTTATATCTCTCTTGCTTTCAACACAGCCAAAGGACAAGACAAGACACAGAGGAGTACAGAAAGTTCCCCTTCTCTACCTATCATCAGACTTTAGGTGATGACTGGAAAAACAAGGCATGTGTATAAAAGTCATATCATTTGGATTGGGTGGAACTCCACAATTTCTGGGCAAGGGAAATCACTGGAATAATTAAGTTGATCGAAGATTTTATGGAGAAGATAAAAACTGGAAAAATTAAAACAACTCTGTAGGTGATCCAAGCAAAGTGAATAGCCTGAACAAAAATAAAGAGGATTACTCAGTATGTTCACTTTGCTAAAACAGAGACCTCATTTTGAGGTTAGAGAGTAGATGGGGCCTAATTAATAGGAGGCCTTGAATTATAAGAATGTGGATGCTATGCTACAATACCATAAGCTACTATTAACTGCAGAGTGATAAGGAACTTATTTTTCTGGTAGTAAGTTTTACAAATTACTCCCTGAACATAAAAAGTTTAGAATCATAGAGTGAGCCATTATCAAGAATGACAAAGCATTTGTCATTAAAACAAAAAACAAAAAGTTGACAAGTACTGCTATAGACATTGAGTAGTAACTATAAGGTTTTGACTAGGGAAGAACATGGTGATGATCATTCTGTGTAGCAAGTAATAAATATTAAGAACTATAATAAGAATAGCAGCAGAAAAGACTATGGAATGATCAGATATTATAAGTAAAAATTTAGCATCAAGGTTGAACAGAAAATTGGTATGACTTGATTCCAGAGTTCATTTTTTTAATTCAACATATTTATCCAGTGCCTACCATGTGTCAGGTCCTAGAAGCTGAGACTATAGATAACAGGGCAGTATCTACTCTAATGGCCATTTAGTCTAAAAGACAAGACGACCACTTTTAATRGCGAAAATGAACATGCTGATTTCGTTTTAGTTGCAAACACCCCGCTAACAGGGACTTTTTTTTCTCCCCTCAAGGACTTTGTTACCTATTAAAGAATTATCCTGATGTAGACTACTTAGTATTCACCCACTAGCATTTTCTGAGGGTCCACTATGTAAAAGATGCTGCTAGGCGAATAGAAAACCTTGAGATTTAGAACACCAAAATTAGTTAAAGTAGGTAACTGCTGGTAACAATACAGTAAGTCTAATCTTTAGTGACCTAATTGGGCGAGGTCAACACTGCCATCTATTCCCAGGTTAGGAGATGTAAGGCAAATCTTTTAGTATCACCTGCACTTTCTCATCACACTCTCGAAAAGTCGTCAGGCTTGAGCTGCAGAGACTGTCTGACTGCTTAGGGTTTTMCCCCAAAACTGCTAACCCGAGAAGAAAGAAATGTTATTTAGGACGTGTGGGTTTTCCATTTCCCTGCGAGGGCAAGCTCGAATCGCCGGATCAGGAAAAAATTCCTCCCAGAATCCGTCCCCTTACGATTAGGAAGGCAAGGGAACTAGGAACTCTGGACACTCTGACTCCCAACGCAGACCTCCCCAGCCAAACCTACAAAAAACTCCCGGCCTTCAGGGCTGGCCGCCTTTGCCCGATTCAAACACAGCCGGTGCGCGGTACCTGATGCTCCCTTTTGGCGGAAGGCTCATCTTTCACCTCCGTCACAAACACACACGGCATTTTCCGCTGCACGGAGCCCAAGCGTCTCATGGTGGGCCCCAGAAGAGCGGTGAGCGACCTCACTGCCAAAAGGCTCCGGGTTTGGACAACAGAGAGCAGCAGCAGTCCTGTGCGGGTTCAGATCACTCACATTCGGCACCCACGGACAGCGACCTCGCCCCGAGACTGCCTACCCGAGACAGGGGCGGGGACACGGACCGGAAGCGGCCTCCTGGCCGCGGCGCTTTCTGGGAGTTGTAGTGCGGCGCCCAGGCGCCAGGGTGTGCGCTCCCATGTGTGCCCCCCCCCGAATTTTGATGACTGAAAAAAAACAAGATCCGTTTCCGACGGTGTGTACGTGGCCACACCTAGTAACCGATGACATTGTCGAAAATTAAACAGTGTCAAGTTGTAAGTGATCAGTAATTACAGATGGTGATTTAACACCGTAGTAGTGAAACTTGCTTTTTCTTGGGGGAAGCGCTATAGAAGTTTAGAAAACGCTGCAATTAAAACACCTGAGACCAAAAAAAAAAAAAAAAAAAAAAAAGAAAGAAAGAAAGAAAGAAAAAGAAAAAAAAAAGAAAAAGAAAATACCCTTTGAATTGCTTTTATCAGTGCAGGATATAATATGTTTGAAATTGCTTCTGATGGACTTTCTAGAATGAGTGCAAAGTGTTAACGTTTCACCAACCCAAAACCACAGGAATACAAACAACAATATCACACTGTTGAGTTTYTTATAAGATTCTTATTTACCTGAATTGAAGTTGAGTTCCAATAAATGACATGAATAGTTGTCATGAGCTAAAAAATTAGAACTAAAAAATCTTATTTGACATTTCTCAAAATAAGTGATAAAGCCAGTAAGTGATAAAGACAATGAATAAAATAAATTTAAATAATTGTAGATTTTCTAACTCATTGCAGTTAGTAGTCCTCAGCCTAAATTTTAAGGAAATTTTTACTTTACACATCATTTATGTGCCTGGATAGGCCCAGTAATTTTTGTAATTATGTTGTCTACATGTGTCCAACTGTCCAGAATTTCATAGACATAGCCCTTAGAAAAATTRAACAATCTCACTTGAAGCTATCTGTACAATAAAGGGACTCCCAAAGAATGAAATATTCCTAAAAAGGAAGTTCAGATTTTTTATATACAGGGAAGGGTGGGAGGGAAAAAAATTCGCCATTTCAAAGTGTTTCTTGTAATTTTTTCCTAGGAAAACACAACCACCACCCCCAAATTAAAAAAAAAAATAGAAGAGAAAATATGATGGTGGCTCTGTGATATTTGGAACTAGAAACATCTTAGCATTTTAGATTTAAGAACTCGTGACTTTTTTCCTCCAGAGGAACTCTAAAAAATGGTTTTGTCACCTTGTGAGATTGGAAGAGACAATAAGTAACCTTCACAACTAGCAACTGTCATTTCTCAAACTGCCTCAGAATCTTCTAGGTGCAACATTCTGTTATTTCTGAGAAAATATGATCTTTCAAAACATTCTACTTGTTCTTTGAATAGTAGAAGCAAAGCTAATCACCTTTCATGAAGCCCTGTTTCCAGTACTTTAGTTTTATCAGCAACCAGAACAAAGTCTCTGGTAGAAATACTCAGGGAAAGAGTCAAAGGATCAAATCACAGTTCTAAACCAGACACCTACTATGATAGGTAACAATCATCAGCTTCACCTGATTCTTAAAAATCTCCAAAGAGAACAAGAAGTTGCTACCAGTCACAAAAGTGTTGTTACAGGATTACAAACTGAAAAAAAAAAAAATTATCTCTGACTGATGGGTCGCTACTCTAACATGCATCAAGAAGGAGGACACTCAGGGTGACTCTGCTTTAACCAACAGAAAATGCATAAGAATTTTCATTCTTACTCCTAGGTGAAAAGACAAAGTTCCTATCACTTTTCTTTATAGATAATAAAAATCCTCATGCATAGRATGATAGCTTTCTGTAAGGGAAATTTGCAACAGGAAAGAATAGAAATGAAGAAAGAAAAATAATAGAAGAGAGAATTCTTAAAAGAAGATAAAACTCCAGTATCCTTAAGATTATCAAAATGTACAGATTCTATTAATGTGCTCTGCAATGAAGCAATCTCTATGTGGATTTGACCTGCTTTTGCTGTGTCTAATTGAATGTGGCTGTTGGCACCTAATTTCAAGAGGTAAAAATGCTTTTTTTCCCCTTCTTTTCCACCTATGTAAAATCATTTAATTATACACTAATGGTGTTAGTATTTAAATACAGTCCATTGACTTTCCAAGTTCAAAAGTAGAGACAGATTTTACTACCACTTAATGATTTTTCTTCCAGATGTATGAATAAAATAAATTTAAATAATAGTAGAATTAGAATTAGAAGGAGGGCTAAACAAAAGTCAATATATATTTTTCTGTATATCTTTGCAAATATTTTCAAGGGTTTAGCCAAAACTTTATTTACTCTTTATTTATTTATAGTACTATTTAGTTCATTTTTTCATTATTTTATCTAACAGTTTTAGGCAAACAACATTTTAAAATATTAGATTCTTATTTTGTCTTCTAGATTTTGATTTAAAAAACATTGTATCAAAAAGGTTCATACCAACTTAGCCTGTTTAACTTAACCAAAGTGGAAATTCATATTTGTCATGATCTTTGAAATTTCCAATTAAAATGATATTGCTGTTTTAATCTACTGTAATCTGTCATCTCCCTGGGAACCTCTAAATCGCCTATGATGAACATTTTTATTGATTTCTGCCAAGTTTTGATTCATTTAGTAAGACAGTAGCCAAGGATTATAGTAACTACTGATCGAAATGTTTCATTCTGTGAATCAGAATACTCAAATTTTCAATCTCTCTGAAAACTTTCTGCTATAGAAAGAAGGCATTCCTTTTTAGATGTATGAGAAATGAGATAAAACTACAAAGTGAATAATTGGTCCAATTTATATTCATATTGTAGTACAATATTTAAATAATTGTTCTTATTTGCTTGAATATGGATAGCATATTTACATATTCTATTTTAAAATTTTTAGTTTTGTTTTCACAGAATATAAAGAAAATGGTTTAGAAATAGCTGTTTACTTATGAAATATTTATACTACTTTTAAATGTGAAAACATAAACTATGTTTCATATTCAATCAGAACACTGAAAAAAATAAAATATACTACTTTATTTTTTTACTTTCTGGGTTAATAAACCAGAATTGAGTAAGGGAAAATAGCCTGCAAGTATACTAGCCTACAGTTACAAGTGAGGTCATTTATGATGAGCAAACAATGGATTAGGTAACAGTGGGGAAAATTCTGGAAGTTTGAGTTTGTGTGCTTACTAGCAACCACTTTCAACATTTCTGCAAAGCTAGAGAAGGTATCTTCTAATTTAAGTTTATTTAAGAATTGTCTATTGTGTAATATACTATCAACAGGAGGTCAATTTTAAAGGAATGCTACTGATAGCCTGAAAGACTGTGGAAAAGAAATTCTTTTTCCCCCTTACACACTGATAGTTCTTATATTTTCATTCCTGCAATTCTTATATATTTATATATAAACAATCATTGGATTAGCAGCAAGAGAGTTGAAAATGGCAGAAGTTGGGAATGACTGCTATTTCTTTTTTAATTCCACATGCATAAAGGTAAATATTGTACAATTTACAGTACTTCACATGCTTAAGCTTTTAGTAAAATGAAGATATGGCAAAAATTTGCATGGCTGAATCAAAATGTACGGTTTTCCCACAAGATATTTTATATACTTAAAATCTGAAGTAAAAGTTTGTCATGTATTTTTGGTATACTGAATTTCTCTGGGGAAATCTGAGATAATTTTAAATTATGATTGGTTTAAAATTACCCTTATATATGTCAGTTATGTGTCTTTGACTTTTGAATCTCTATGTGGTACTTTTGCTATATTATGGCTYCTTGAGATATCAAATTCCTAATATCACAACATTATATGATATATTGTATTGCTTTGTTTAATGTGATTCCAGTCATATACATTCAAATAGTTGAATTTATTTAGTATAATAAACCTGTTTCTCTATCTGAAATTTATTAACATAATTACTGAATTTCCTCTGTTAAAAGTATCAGCAAATAATTAAATATTATGTGAAAGGGGAAATATATTATGAACAAACCAACCAAATATAAAGTTTGTAAAGTTAAGTGGGGAAAATGAGGTTAGGTTTAATGGATCTCATTAAAACCAAATAGATATAGAAACTTGATGTTTGGGACCTCCTGCTTGTGCTAGTCTGAACTCAGTGAAAGGGAAGATGTATTTAGTTCAATATGTTTATCTCTGCTAGGAAATTTGAAGTCAATCTTTTTGACCACAGGAACTAAATTTACTTCTGTCTTCTTTTATGTTCAGATTAAATTGTGGGATGATAAATAATAATAGAATTTATATTTCAGGTTGGAAAAGAGGTTTTTCTTTTTCTTTGCTTATCACCAAGTACTTAGCACAGAGACCGATGGGTATTAAGTCCTCAATAAATAATTATTAAAAAATGGCAACCACAATACCTTATGTCACGTATTTTATTCTCTTTTTTACACATGAGAAAACTGAGCACAGAGAGGGTACATTTTATCTTTGTGGCTATGGGCAAGAAGTAAAACCAGGGATTTCAGATACCAGCTTATCTGACTCCAAAACTTCTGCACACTACCCTTTTAAAACAGAAAGAGAGAGAAGCCAAAAATAGAGGGTAGTTAAAAGATAAGAAACAACCAGGAACACGTGTCAAAAGAGGGAAGAATTTAATGGAATATTTTTATTCTATGTCCCTCGTGGCCTGCAGTGTTTTGCAACTGTGAATCTGTGTGTACAAGAACTTAATATTAAAAATAGTAATAGCAGCCCATTGAAATAATCTGTATCTGTTTTGTTGGTACATAAAAGTGTCAGTGTACATATATAGGTATAGGCAATTGTTTGTAGGCTAAGGTCATAAAGCATGTATATTATGCAGCATGACGTGGTAATTACTTAAAATTCCACAATAATAGAGTTTAAACTCCTTTCACTTTACCCATTTAAATACACTTACCAGTACCACCAGAGATTAACAAAACAGACGATCTGAAAGGACTGAACAATAGAGATTGTCTCCACAGTTATARTATGGTCAGTGATTCCTAAAATATCTGTCTGCTTTTCTTGGTGTGGTCAGGGATATCACCAGTCTCCTATCTCCATTTTCTATTCCATAATGCATTCTGTGATTAACTGAMAACCAAAGTAGCATTTTGTGAGCAAATTGTGGCTTATTGTATTGTTGAATCATTAGATTTTCCTATCAACTTTCTCACTAAAGGTAGACCCTTTGGCTAAAATGTAGACTTGTGGTCCTGTATGGGTAGTGTGTTTTTGTTGCACTTCTAATTTGATACACTCATAATTCCTTTAAAAATTAGCAACCAATTATTGTTAAACGCTAACAGAATTTACTGTTTAATATGTTGAGTTCTCTACACTGTTTACTTTTTCTTTGTAGGGTTCCCAGTGCCGATTTCGACACTGTGAAGAAGCCCTTGGCAGTGACACTGTGTGCTCATTATGGAGAGAGAGAAAATGTTTAGATCCACTTTGCAGATTTAGACACATGGAAATGCAGGTAAACTTACTCAGTATCATCATTTTTGTTAAAAGCATCTCATTTCAATAATCTTAAGTTATGCTTTTATGACAGAATAGAAAACAAATGATTCTTCCTCCCACTATTTAATTTTAGGTATTTTTCACTTTGTTCATCTTAAATTCTGAGAAAAATGGAGAAACATGTTTTTGAAATACCATTGCATCTTTTAAATAGCAAAGCTTAGAAATACTGAAAACCAGAGAACACTTGATTCTAAATCACTAACTGCAGTTATTTTGTCACATTGGTTGTGTGTAGCACACTGTTTTATTGTGAACATGGCATCTAATCCTTGCATCTCCCCCCTTCCTTTGTCTAGCAAAATTGCAGCATTTCATGTTTTTGGGAAACTCAGCCTCTTGGTTGTGTGAAGATCAGTTGTATCTTTTATCACAGCAAACCTCGAAATATCAATGGATTATTTTTGCCACCAAGTAGCAGTGAGTATATCTGTATTCTAATAACCTGGACATACTGGATTATAATCTGGTTTTGGAGTAGTAGCATAGAATGACACATAAAAGTACAACAAGGTGAGCAATGTAATTTCGTAGCTAATGGATGGTTTGGGAAGATTCTATCAAGAATCATGAGATGAAGTTTAGAATAAGCTAGTAGGTAGCTAAAAGATGACGATAACAAAAATTGAGTTGAACTTTGTGTATGTTGAAAACAGATTACATCATCTGAAAAATGAAATGACTACTGATCTTACTAAGCAGACCATTACCTGCTTAGTAGTAAGACTTGTACCACAAGTCTACATTTTACCCAAAGGGCCTACCTTTAGTGACAAAGTAATAAGAAAATCAAAACATCACACATCAGAGTCAAACTCAGAGGTAATAGCTTCATGGATGTCTCTGGTGGGGCCAGCAAGGACCTGGCCAATTAACACTTCTGCTTCTACAGAGTGGTTGTCTTCTGCYGTTCTTCCTAAGACTACAGTCGTGAAGCAAATGTAATCCTATTGCTACAAAAGCCAGGGTACAGTTCAACCAAATTATTTGGAGACTCTATTTTCTGGCAAACTACAAAGTAGTTTCTGGAAGGGAAACAGAAGACATACCCAGAAGCAGTAAATGGCAAGAACCTTGCTGAAGAAGTTGGACCTGTCAAGATTTCCTTGACATTTCACTCTCCTGCTATGGTTACCAAATTTCTTGGATGGAGTGGCTTTAGAAATTGGTCTTTGAAATTTTGGCTTCARATAATCCTTAGCAGATGGATAATTAACACTTAGATTCTTCTCTGCCCTCTTCCTCTCTGCTCTCTGCCCTCTACCTCCTCTTTCTCTCTGCTCTCTTTCTCTTTCTCTCTGCCCTTCTCCTCCTCTCCTCTCTCTGCCTCTCATTTTCTTCCCCTTCAGGCAGTCCCCCAGTAAAATCTCTTGGTGGGGAAAAAAACCCTTAGATTCTTTTGGTGTGCACTTTTGGAAACCTCTAACCTCATAGTACATCATACATGTAATATCTGATCAATGTTTCCCTTCCTCACTAGACTGTGAACATCACAAGGATGGGAATCATAACTGGTTACCTCCACTATGCACAGTTTCTAGAGCAAAGATGCTTAGTAAAATTGGGTGTTTGATAGACAAAAGAGGGAAGTATAGATGACTATTGATAAGTGACCTACTGGGATGAAAGTTATTGTGCTTAATTAATTGATCCCATTAATTTACATGTGATATGATTCTACTTCATGAAAATGTATTAAGTTCTTTATATATAGTTAGTGATTAGCTCTCTAGTGGTCTAAGGATAAAATTACTATCTTAAAACTAGCTTTTTAAGGACTAAAGTAAAATATTGTATCCCTGGGCAAAGGAAGGATGGAATATTTGTGTAACTGACAATTATTGTTTTGAGACAGGGTCTCCTTATCATCACCACAAGGTATGCCCTGGACTAAGTGCTGTAGATATATGTTCATTGTTCTAATTTATTAGAAATTAACTCTGAAATTTGAAGATAAAATCTTCTGTTTTTTTTTTTTCTGGAAGTCTCAATTCAACAGGTGTCAAAGCTTATCTTGACACTTTTGAAGTAAGCTTTCCCCTCAATAGATCAAACCTTGATCCGTGAACTAGAATCCAAGCCCTTCCTCTAAGCATTCGACCTCATCATGAGAGGGGCATAAGGGGACCCAAACATTGATAGTACCCTGCTTCCCCAAACCTCCTAGACTTGATCTATCAGGGTCAAAAGGGCACTCCAGACACTCACCTCACTCTCCAACAAAGCTTCCTCATCTCCTCTTATGTGTTTTGAATTCACCAGAAATTCATTCTCTTTTACTTCTGCTTACATCATAAAAAAACAGACAATAGGAGAGAGAGACCCCTTCTTTTGAGTGACTCACTTCTTTTCCTCTTCTGTCCTTTTCACTCACACCTCCCCAACCTTCCAATGTCAACAGAATTAACTATTCCTTCTCTGAATTTTCCTACTCTGATGTAAGAATGGTTTTCACCAGGCACTGTGGTTCACGCTTGTAATCCCAGCAACTTGGAAGGCTGAGGCTGGAGGATCACAAATTGGAGGGCAGCTTGGGAAACTTAAGGAGACCCTGTCTCAAAACAAAAAATAAAYAAATAAAAAGGGCCAGGGCTATAGCTCAGTAGAAGAGTGCCCCTGGATCAATCTCCATTGCAGGAAGCAATAAATAAATAAGCAAACAAACAAACAAATAAATACATTTTTTAAAAGAAAGGGTTTCCTCTGAGGATCCTGTTTCCTGTAGCGCTATCTTTTCTCCCAGCGCTTAAGTACCACTGGACCTATAGGCAAGATGAGAGATTTCTTTAGTCCTCATTGCCAGTTTCAGATTGTTTTCTGGCACTTTCTCTCAAACTACAAATAAACTCATAATACTGACTTCCAATCATGCTACATGTATTCCCCCAGCTCATCTGTATTCTCCTGGACTACACGTCCTTACTATACTTTTAGTAGACAACATAAAAGTGAAGTTATTACAAATTATGTGGTATCAAAACACAACTAGTTAAATATCAGTATTTACAAAGCATTGTGCTATCTCTGTGCTATCTAGGTTGGGTTAAAATTTTTTAAAAAAATTTTAGGTATTTGAACATGTAACCTGTGAAATTTCTAGAGCTTCTGCTTGATGAATTAAGATTCATCACATGGTCCATATTAAGTAGGTGAGTTGGAGACACAGTAGTGCTATCTAAATTACCAGCTGTACTCTTCCAGTGTGAGGTGCTTTGCTAAAAGCAATTTTTCATTAGTTGATTTGCCTTTGCATACTAGCTCTAAGTACTTAGTGCAATTATCCGGACTCTTGCATGTTTTGATTTTTTTTCAGGGGGAGGGGCGGTTGTGGGGATATCAAACAACCAATTAGATTCTTTGCAATTTAAACTTAACCTGCTAGTGAATTTAAAAAGGTTTTAAACTCTTTTGAGAGAGAGATTTAAAGGTTGCCAAACCAAAGATTTTCAAGAAACATTCTAAGTTCTCTGATTATCATTTCAAAGTTTAAAAGCAAATAACTACTAAACCAACTGAGAATGCTATGAAAACATAGTTCAATAAATATTTACTATAATTACAAAAATTCCCTAAGGGTTTCTGAGTACATTTTCTGTTTTCTTTGCAAGCATAGTAAATGCTTTTTCTTTCTCCTATGGTATACATTAGAGGTTAGTGTACTCTGAAAGACCAACTATTCTTAAAACAGTCCTAGATTTTTTTTTCTTTCAGTTTACTGACTTTTCAAAAGAGTTTAGGCCAGTTGCTGTGCAGAATATCTTTTTAAGAATTTTATTATTATTTTTGTTTGTATAATTAAGGTTTAAATAAGACTAACGTTTACAAGAATATGCAAAGATAACAATCAGTATATTTTCAAATCTATATAAGTGTTTCTATTGCCCCAACCTAATTATTTTCTGTGGATTTTCYTAAAGAATTAGTGAAAAGTAAAGAAAAATATTTAAGAATCTCTGCCCTGTGAATTTTACAAAAATTAGCACCATTTTTTACTCTTTCAAGCAAAAGGGAATAATAATGACCAATTTCCATTTGAATAAAAACAATTTGTTTGAATAAAAACAATTTATTTAGCAAGTAATTGACTTGTTTATGCAAAAGTTCTTAAAACCTGTGTTGCATTGCAGTTACATTTTACCCATGAAAGCTATTTATAAATATAAATATATATATAAATAATATAAATATAAATAATAATATAAATTTCTTATTTATACAAGAAAATATTGCATTGTGATGGCAATATTAAAATAAAGTACATGACATCTACTTTAAATAATTTGTTTTGAAAATTGATAAAGCACAGATGAAGTTCATGTTTGCATTGTCTGGGCTTGATGTATTGTAGTCTATCATAAGTACTAATTGAAACTTTCTTGATCATAAGCGATTGTGTACCACTAAATGTTTAACAACTGGATCTTACCTACCCATCCTCTCTCACATCCTAAAAATTAAACAAAAAGTTAAATAGTCCTAGTTTGTAGTATTTACCAATTACCAAAGAGCAAATATTTGGCATAGCAGAAATTATGCCCAACTTCAGGCTACCAAGGTGACATAAATTAGCAGCAGTATTGATGAAAAATTAACAAGCTGGATGTGGTTGCACACTCCTGAAATCCCATAGTGGCTTGGGAGGCTGAGACAGGAGGATCACAAGTTCAAAGTCAGCCTCAGCAGTTTAGAGAGGCCCTGAGAAACTTAGTGAGACTTCTTGTCTCAAAATAAAAAAAAAATAAGTGTTGAGGATGTGGCTCTGTGGTTTAGTACCCTTGGGTTCAATCCCCAGAACAATAATAAAATTAAAAATAGGTTCTCATACTGATCTGAGTTCACTTCAGCACACCACTGTTGTAGGAAGAGAAAACAGCTCAATTCAATTTAAGGGAAAAATGGACAGAGCTGACCTTGGATGCAGGGTGAACTATTTGCCTTCCTCCATATAGTGTAGTTGCCCCAGAAGTTCCAGACATAGAACCTGGATAAGCAAAGGTTAAGAACACTGATTCTAGCTCAGACTGGGTTAAAATCTCAACCTGCCAATGTAACCTTGGGCAACTTAATCTCTGTGGCCAAGTTTTTTTCTTCTGTATGATAGAAATGGCAATAGTACTCATGTCATGGAACTGTATTAGACAATGGATTCATATCTAATAATTTAGGGCTCTCTTCAAAGAGTAAGTTCTTGGTAATTAGCATCATTGTCATCATCATTTTAAATTAGCAATTTTAGAGGAAATTTCCAGTTAAAGCCTTAATATTAAATCTTATCTACTGATGTGGAAAACATGCTCATCCCTAATAATTTTTCAGGTCAGAGAAACAGCTAATTTCTGGGGTCAAGAAGGCCATCTTTAGTCAAACTAAATTAGAATGGAAATGAGAAAAAAGTGATTCCCCTAAGGAACACTGACAAT